AAAAAAGCCAGACAACCTGAAACAGCAGACAACAGAGGGCTCCATGAGACTATTAGCCTGAGATACTCTTTAAATCTAGAACTGAGCCTACCTGAAATCACCTCTTAGTGAAATAGTAGAGTGGCACACAAAATAAAGGACATTACCCATAACATCCCTGCCCTACTTAAAAACTATCAATATAAGACCAAACGATTAACAATTACTCAAAAGCAAAGATGAGAAGAAAAGGGGGCAGGGAAACAAATACTGGAAAGGGAGCAAACAGAACACAATTAAAGAGAATGTTCACATACTGTGATAAACATAATTGTCACCAAACAAATATCATGGAAACTGTCAAATGGGAACCTAAATTGCCATGTAAACTTTCAATAAAACGCAATAAAATATTATGTAAAAAAAATGTCAACTATCACAACCACTTAGGAGTAAGTTCCTCCTTGCTCAGCAGCAAAAGTGTAACAATGGTTGACAAAGGGACTGGGTATAAATTTCTATTGCATTTTTCAAGCTATTATTGTTGTTGTTATTTGCCGTCAAGCCGGACCCGACTCATAGCAACCCCTCCTTGGGTTTCCGAGGCAGTATCACTATGGAAGTAGACTGCCCCATCTTCCTTCCAAGGAGTGGCTGGTGGGTTTGAACCACCAGCCTTCTGGTTAGCAGTCAAGTGCCTTAGGCACTAAGCTACCAGAGCTCCTATAAGAATTTATTTACAGAATGCATGTTTGTATTTATATGATCTAGCATTCCTAATAAAACATTAATCCTACCTATCCATTAGAATACCACCTTAAAAAAAAATACAGTATACACAGTGTAAAGAAAATCTAATAGGGTCACTCCTTGACAACTAAAATCTAAATAGAAGTCTGAAGCATTCTTCTTGATTCATCTCTAACTAAAAGAAAAGAGTAAGCAGATATTGGTTTAAATTTTGCTATAGTGGTTATATCAAGAAGAAACTGAAGGTGAAATCTAGAAGTTTGATCCCTCTTCAGTTATACAAATGGTTTACTGATGGTAGCTTTGGCAATGAAATGCTTGTCTAACAGTACTACAACACACTTGGGAAAAAAGCAACAACTAAAAACTTCATGTAAAGTTTATTAATGAGATCAAACACCATATACAGAGTTGTTAAAAGTAACAATGACTAAGAGACACCTTCTCTTCTCCATCTGTCTGTGCAAAGCTATGCTCTACAAACTGAAATTGTAGTCAAGGACACCCTCTCAGGACTGAATGAGCCACTAAAACTCAAAATGTCACTGTTTTCTTGGTGATACTATCTTCCGTTCCTAAATCCCCATTCCAAGGCCAAAGATCTCAGTTAAAATAACTTGTGAGCCTGAAACAAAAAGGGTCGCTTGCCCTAGTAAAGACACAGAACACTTCAATGCTTAAATTTAAACACATGGAGTATATGGGTCAGAGAAGTATATTATAAGAGATAACATGACACATCTCATCAGGCTCTGAGACCCAGAAAAAACAAATGACAAGTCGGATTCCAGTTCTAACATATTCAGAATTGATTTCTCTGGTGTTTTTTTTTTTTTTTTTTAAAGCACACCCAGAATAAAAAAAAAAAAAAAAAATCATGCAAGGTATAAATCCTTAACATAACTTTAAACAGAAATTTAATCAATCCTAGTTAAGTTAAAGATGTGGCTACTAATCAAAAGGTTGGGATTTGAATCTACCCAGAGGTGCCTCAGAGGAAAGTCCTAGTGATCTGCTTTTTAAGGTCACAGCCATTGCAAACCCTACAGAGCACGGATCTACTATAAAATACATGGGCTTACCATAAGTCAGAATCAACTCAATAGCTTGTTTGGTTTTAACATACATTTTAGGGGGTGTTCAAGGCAACTATATGTGTGTAAAACTAAAATTTTTTAATGAGCTTTCATCATCTACTTAAATTGAAATGACCATCACTACTCTTCCAGGCTGTCCTTAAAACAGGATTTGTTAGTAAGGTGGCTCCTGAAGTTAAAGCCATTTTGCTTTTTGAGGTTAGAGCATAGGAGTATAAATTACTGAATAAAGTACTACCACTTTTTGCGTAGTGCCTAAGGCACTTGACTGCTAATTAGAAGGCTGGCGGTTCAAACCCACCAGCCACTCCTCAGAAGGAAGATGGGGCAATCTACTTCCGTAGTGATACTGCCTCCTCGGAAACCCAAGAAGGGGTCGCTATGAGGCGGGTCTGACTCCATGGCACATAACAACAACAACTTTAATATCAAGCACTCAACAGACTTGTGCAGAGGGCCTAAAATGTGCACAGTACTGAGTCACAGGCCCTCTCTGCTTCCAGGAGCTTTCAGTCTAGTGGGAATGCACCACCTAAAGGAGTATGTGACTATGTGCTAAAAGTAAATAGCACAGACTATACAGTTGCTAAGTGTTCTAACAAAGGAGATACTGATTGCTGTGTTCTGGGGTAGTCAGAAACAGCTTTAAAGAGGTTAAAGGAGAGGAAAAGGACTTGGAAGAAAAGCAGGATTCTGAAATGTAAGGAGGGTCCTGCAGGCAAGGCAGCTTTTCAGTCTATGAAATACTTTCACACTCACACTCCTTTTCAAGAACCCTGGTGGATAAGAAGTCAAAGGTCCTTCCCACTCCTGCACCATTTACAGGGTGAGAAAAGATGAGGACGAGAAGACTTGACCATCCATACAATAATAAAACATGGGTTTGAATTTAGCATTCTGCCTTCTAGTCCAGCAGCCCTGGCTACTGTAGAGAATGAGAATTTAACAATTTAACCAGAGCAAAAACCTGGAAAGATGGGTTAGGCCAAACTGGTCTGAAAAGTCAAGCCAAAGAGTTTTAATTTCATCCCTTCAAGTAATCAAAGGGTTTTTTTTTATTGTTTGTTTTGTTCTTTAGCATCATAACACTAGAGTTTTAGGAAGGTATCTTTCTCTGAGAGAAAGAGAAAGACCTTCTAAAGAACGACTTTTTTAGACCAGTAGGAGAGAGTACTGCAGCGACCCAGTGAGAGGTATTAATTAGGTGTCAATTAGGAAGTACAGAGAACAAACTACAATGATTAACATTTGTTTTAAACTACAAATTAGCAAGAAAACAAGTAGACAAAAATCTTACTGTGTCCCTCCCTCCTCCTTTTAGAAATCAGTTGCAGGGTGGAAAATTTCCTCTACTAAGAAATTCACAAATTGTCAATAATCCAAAAAGGTAATTTACCAATAAACTAGTATCTCCACAGATTGTAAATAAGCCTAAACTTTAAAATCCAAATCGCAAACAACACTGTGAGAATCACAAGATTGCAAATTTCAGGGTCTCCTAAACAAGGAATACATTGATGCAACTAACACTTCCAAAGATTTTGCCTTTTCCATTCAGAACAGATTTAGTGAACTCAGGTCAGATTTATTTCCATATTTAAGTCCTGACCCTGATTACAGCACAGGTCTCTGCAAAAAGCAAGGACCCAATAAACACTTGCTGAATAAATGCAGCCAATAAATACTGTGCAAGAACAACTTCTACATTAAAGATAACTCTAACGTGGGGGTCTGTTCCAAAATCAAGTTCCCACAATTTCGGATACAAATCTGGAAGACAAACGATTCAGCTGACCTTCAACTGGGGCCTAACTTAAAGTCCTTACGGTAACGTTTTCCCAGAGCAATGGCACAGAGCCATTTCTCGGAGATGACAACAGCTCCAGTACCTTGCCATGCTCCCCTACCTCCGCCCGACTCAAAGAGTTGCGGCACTTCGGTAAGTTTCAATGCGGCTCGCCCGGGTACCAAGGAGATGAGATTTTGGAAAAAGGGAATGACTGCGCCGACACCTGCCTGCACCGCTCCCCAGCTGCCCGGTCCCAGGCGTCGCTGCCACCCTACTTACCCCGACTGGGCGGCCGTGCTCGGGGCCGTCGGAGGCGTCTAGGCGCTGAGCCGGGGCAGGCGCCGCGGCCGGCGCGGGCGGCTGCCGGTGCTTGCCGGCGCGCTTGGCCTTGGCCTGGATGCAGCGCTGGTGTAGGGCGAAGGTGTGCTGGCGCTCGAGCTCCAGGCGCTCGGGCGACACGGCCTCGTAGCGGGCCTCGCAGGTGCTGTGGTGGCGCCGGCACAGCTCAATGCGCCGGCGGAGGCGCTCCATGACCGCGCTGTGCCGCGGCAGCGCGAACTCCGCCATGGGGCAGGGGGGCAGCACCATGGGCCGCAGGTTAGGCGGGCCAGGCCCGGGGCCGGGCCTCACTGGGCCGGCTAGTAATGCGGGCTCCGCTCCCGCCGGCAGCCCCGGTCCGCCTCACGGCCGCGCCATAGCTCCGCAAGCTGCAGAGCCGGTTCACGCTGTGTCGGGCGGCGGTGCGTCTTCCTCCTGCCCTGTTCGGCCGCCCCCAGGCCGACGCTCGTGGCCCACCTCAGGCTTCGGCCTGCCCCCGCTGCCCCAGCCCCATTGTTTTACGCGCCGCTGCCGTCGCCATCTTAAAATTGTTTTCGGGTCTCGCGGAAGAGGGAGGAACCTCGGCAAGAGACCTCGGGCGTCAGGGTTGACAAACAAGAATTCCGGCCAATTAGAAGCGAAGCGCCGGCCACCAGAGGGCGTGGGGACGCGCACGTAAGCGGCGCACGTAGGCTGCCGGGCGGTATTTAAAAGGAACTTGGTAAAGACGGAGGAAGCTCCGAGGGGCGGGCCTCATCCTGGAGACACAGCCTTGTCGGAAAGGCGGTGACTAGAGGCTTTCTCAACACCGCCCCAGAGGCAGGCCCTTCCGGGTACAACGAGGTAAGCACAGGAGGGCAGAGGGAGGGGAAGATGGCCAGAGAAAGCAGACGTCCGCTTGGCAGTATACCGTCTCACTACCCTTTTCTCCAACCTTCCTTTTGAATTCGATTTTGGTAAGCTCGAAATAGCCAAGCTATTACACTCTCAGCCGTCTTCCCTTTTGTTCCTTATATCCTGCCTCTTAATTGCTCATAATTGGTTAAGTGAGCTTGAAGATATTTTCCTCTCGCACCATTCTGTATCATTTGGACCATCAATAACATCCATTTATAAAAGCTTGAACAAGTTTCAAAAACTAAGTTACTACAGAAAAAACAAAAACAGGTATGAGAGAGCTAGTGTGAAGCAAAGGATGGGGAGGTTGTTGAGTATGCAATACTGTGAGTTTTGATGGTTTACGGTGATGGAAAAAGAAAAATTACATTGACAAAGGGTTGCACAGCCGATTAATGTTAATGACTGTAAATAAGTTGTACAGCTGTAAGATGAATTGGCGAAAGTTGTGCTATTTACAACAACCAAAAGAGTAGCTGCTGAGGCTGTGTACAACCAAGCACCCATGGGTTTGGTTCTTTGATTTCAGAGGGTTGGAGTTGTGGTTTCATGGGACATTACAGTTAATTGGTATAGTGCCTTGGGTCATAAAAACCTGCAAGCTGCAGTCCAAGGAAAATTGGTCTCTAATCACTTGGAGCATTCAAAGGAGTCATGTACAGAAGAAAATGGAATGTAAGGTGAGCCCAGAGAACTGGATGGTGCTTGGCTACCATTACTGAACATTTTGGTCAAAGATTCTGTAGAAGAATCCTGATGAAAAGGGAGAAATGTAAAATAGAATTTCAAATTTTCAAGGACTCTGGACTTTCTGGAGCCATGGAGGCTGGATGAACCCTGCCCTGAGATAAAATCTTTAAACCTCAAACCAAAAATATCCCCTGAAGTCTTCTTAAAACCAAATAGTTTAACTACTAAATAATGTCTGCCTTGAGCATTATATGCTCTTTTAAGATTTAACTATATGGGATTAAATTGACAACAGCAACTTGTAAAAATAGATAGGAACCTTAGGGATCAGTAAGTTTGTTAATTAAGGACAGTGAGAAGGGTTGCATAATGCAAAGAATGTTATCAATATTACAGAATCTGTACAAGTAGGAACTCCTGAATTGGTGTCTTGTATATATTCTTGATAATAACAACAAATAAAATAACTTTTTAAAAAGATGCAAAAGATGATGCTTCTATCAAAAACAGGAAGACTGGATTATAAACTTTACATTCAGAAGATGGTCTGTTAGATGAAATGGAGAACAATTAGATCCTGCTCACTTGGCTCTTGTACTGTATCTAATATAGGTAAAGCAAGTGAGGGGGTTCGAGAACTGTCAGGGAAAAAAAGGCACAATGGAGTCAGTACTAAAACTAGACAGTCTACCATGTTGGGTCAAGAGAGATTAGAAACAGGTATTGGCACTCTGTTAACAGGTAAATAAGGAGGTGTCAGGAAAGAGACTGCACATGGACAGGCACTATCAATAGCACAAACATGGTATGCTATTTTACAAGGGTGGACTCATCCATTACGCACAGTGGCCCAGGGTCCACAATACTTTTAGGGGCTTATCAAACTTTTAAAGTCATTAGAAAAAAATTCAACCTGTAGTGTAAAATACTGTTTTTATACAAATACAGTCAAATACAGTGTTTTAATATTTTTTATGGAAGAAGCACACCCCCAGGGCCAAAGTCCCCAGAGCCCACCAAAGTCATAGTGCAATCCTGTTTTTTACTAGTCTTTGAACAGTTTATTCAGAATTAAATAATCTATCTCATTTAATAGAGGGAAAGAAAGCAACTAAGTGCACTGTATTTTGCATACTTCCTGGTAAATAATTCAAAAGCTTTGTAGATAAAAAAAAAATTCTTTTAGTATAACTTTCAAAAACATCCTGAAATATGTAAAACTAATGGAAGATGGGAGTCTCGTTCCAAACAAAAATTATTTTCTAATAAAAATTTATAAGTTAGATGGTTCCTGTAAGTCTTAAAGAACGTATCGTCTATAAAGGATCAGTAGCATCCCCTCCATTTTTAAACTGCAATCCCTACTATACAACAGAAAATACTGACGAACCATAATCCAGCAGCAGGAAGAGATAAAAGCAAAATATAAGACTGAAGCTCCTATTATAAAATAAAAGTCAACAGTTATTCCACTCCGAAATAGTTTCTGCATACTAGCAAAGTCTCATGCAGTGGCCACTTAAAGGAAGATTAACCCTCTACTTAAAGAGTAGAAACACTAAAGGTCACACATGAAGAAGTTCAGTCAAAAGTAGACACAGCATTGGGCTTTAATGTAATACCATTTACTAATGTGACAAAATGAAAAAGTACTTTGTGGATAAGTTGAGGCGCATATCTGTTGGTGTGGACATTTTACAATAAGGGACATACCTAACCAGCATGTAAAATTTTAAGTGCCTTTTTTAAAAGCTGAAAAGTGCTGGTCATCCATTAATGTATCAGACATTTAATCAGGAGGCTGCACCTTGAACCAAACAGTGAAAAGGAGAACCAAGAAAAAACATTTGGTATTTTGAGGTGTTTTGTTTTGTTTTGTTTTTTTAAGAGGCATAGGTAGAGGATCAATGAACATTCTAATCACTTAATCTGTCATCCCACAGCTTAGCTGGAAGAAACTGTGAGTGTACCTTTAATGGCACAGTGAAAAAGGCAGATTTCTGGAAATGCAGTGATCCCACATATTTGCTTCAAGGAGAAACCTGCAGACATATTTTCAGGTCTTGCTAAGTAATTGTTTATTTGCACTCAATACATTTGGGAAAGTCTGCTACATAGCTAAGGTCACCATGACCAAGAACAATAGCTAAAATGGATAAGCACTGAACAGCAAGAAAATTGCATCCCACCCATAAAAGAATTTAAGTGAACCCAGTAAAAAGATTGAAAAACAAACTAAACAGATAAAACCTTCATCTTTTATAAATGTCCTTTTTCCCCAATATCTCCCCAATATAAACACTGTGGAGTGTTTATATATTCAGTGCAAGAAACAGTATCATTGGTACATTTGAAATGCCTCCAAAGAAACAAAAAAGCTAAAATAACATCTAATTCTGAATACATTTCAGTGTGGTGTAATACCGATATTATTACACTATATTGATAGGGGAGAGGCTCTGATAGCACCCATCTGCATTCCACATGAAAAAACAAACCTAACATCACTAAAAACAGAACAGGTAACAACAACAGCAACAACAAAAAAAACACAACTCTACAAGCCACATACTAAAAAAAAGCTGAACAGGATTGCTTTATTGTGTAATTTAAGACACAGCTGTTACATAACTGCAACCAAAGATGTGAAAGATTTTAGCAGCTACAAAAATCTGGTAACTCATGCTATATGTCACTCCTCCCATGAATACTTTTAGCCTGTGTTCAATTACAGTCAATTCTGAATTGGCTTGCCTTGGGATTAGACTTCTAAACTCCTTACAAAGAATAAAAGAAAGGGATAAAAATTTAAGATTGTATTCCATCCTGTATTTTGACCCTGGAAAAGTATGGGTCTGCTTAAAAAGGGAAAAGAAACATACACATAATCACAATAAAGCTTAACACTATGCAGAGCTTATAATCATTTTCAGCAACGTACGACAAGCTGTGCTGTGAAGGAAATGCATAGCAGAGGAGAAAGCTGGGAATTTGGGGGAATAGGTGAGGAAAACAGTGTCAACACAGTGGAATAAGTGATTAAAGCATATCTGGATCTACTCCAGCGCTCACATGCCCTGCTAGCGTTCCTTAAAAAGCCACCTGTTGTAGAAGGCCAGAGACCAGACACCACCTGTGTGTGAAGTATGAATGCCCCAGTACCACATTAAGCTACCTCCTCCACTACAAGTTATCTGGAAAATGAGCAGTTCCAAGGGCAACAGAACACACAGTACTTTATGGTTAACCAACATCAAGTGAAAGGTTTTTCTTTTTGTATGTATCTTTTTAAGTAACTTAAAACAGAACCTTTATAGAAATTTGGGCTTCCATCCAATCCCTCTTGATTTCCTTAGGAGGAATTGAGTAACGGAAGCAAGCAATACAAGATTATAACCACAAAGGACTGCATTTCAAACATGATTCTCAATTTTAAGGGACAGAAACACTTAACTGTTTTATAATACCAAACTTAAAAAAAAAAATCTGTTATAAAAACTGCAATTCATCCCCCTAGCATTTCTAAATGTTGATGTTATACCTGCATGGACAGATTAATGTGTTAAATTAAGCCAAGATTTTAAAGAATGGCAAAGGTCTATCACTCTATTTTAGAAAACAAAGATGTTTAAAACAAAAAAACACAAGTTAGTTGCTTCATATTATACTTCACAACCATTATGTTAAATGCTTGCTTTCTACAGAAACAGGATCCCTTATGTCACAACTGCAATTATTTACTGCTAGATGTTCAAAATTACATGGGCTAGTGTTCAGCTGGAACCTGTTGATGGTGACGTCTTGAGGTTTTCTGAGTTTCAACCTAAGATGTGCCAGGTCCTCTCCAAGGACCACACTTGCAGGGGAAGGGGAGGGAGAGGAAATCACAAATCAAGTTCTTAAGATTATTTCACTCTCTTCGAGGCTTTCTGTTTCTTGGTGATCTGTTCAAAATTTCATCCTCCTGTTGGTTGAAAAGAAAAGAAAATTTTTGTAATTTGCAAACCTTTTAAAAATAAAAATTTACCAATTTCAAAGACAAGCCAGACTGAGGGTAACTCATCCAAAAAAAACATAAGAGAATAAATATGACTAGAAGGAAATGCACCAAAACAAAGCTCAGGTCTCAAGCTAAATGTTGTTACTCCTCCCATAATTTACTTTCAACTGGTACTGGTTACGCATTCTAATTTAGCTTGTGTTTTGTTTTAAAAAAACATGTTATGTACTTTTCTTACTCTAACCCATAAATATATTTTTTGAAAGGATCGTTTACTGTGCTTTCACATGTAATCTTGCTTGATCCTCAACAATCTCCTGGCTTGTGGGTACAATATCCCCATACCAAGGATGAGAAATCTGGGATTCACGGGGCCTGGAAGACTATTCATGCGTAGTCCCACATGACACTCAAGACAAGTCCTGTGCTCCTCTATTCCACACAGCTACTTTTTATTGTGTCAGGAAGTATAGGGCATTTAAAAAAGGATGTGACACATTATCCCCACCTTTTAAGAACTCTGCCTTCTAGACACAGAATATACCCATTGAAAATATTAACAAGGACACTAACAGCACTGACCTTTAGCAATAGAAGGGCAGAGCTGTAGCAGTTGGAAATAGAACTGGTACAGTTTTACAGGAAGGACCAAACTGAAACACAGAGGTGTGGAAAAGGAACCTCTGGAAGCAAAGGTGTGAACATGCTAATGCTGGTAATGAATTGGGGGACACTCTGCTGGAATGTTAAGACAGAGATTATTAAAGGGGACAGGTTGCAGAGAACCCTCCTTGTGCCAGGCTGAGTTTGAACATGAACCCATCACAACTGCATTCTTACCCTTGTTCAAACTGAAAACCCTCTCTCCATTATCAATCCAGCTAGTTTTCATTCCCTCCACTCCCATCACCCTGCTTAGAGCCGTCGTACCTTGCCTGGATTGTTAAAGAAGCCTTCTCCTAATTGGTCTCCCTGAGTCTAGCTAGCCTACAGAAGACATAGGAGCCAAAATCGTTGGATGACGTCACTCCTCTGTCCAAAAGTGTACAATGGGTGCCCATTTAGCTAAAAAGAAAAGCCAAGTCCATATAAGGAATGGCCTATTGAAGCCCCACCTAATCTGGAGCTCCTCCTCATCCCGCTCTCCTCTCACTCTACAGGCAAAGACTGGCCTTTTGGACTACTTCTAGGAGACTTTGTACTACTGGCTGTTCTCCCTGCCTGGAATGCTCTTATCACTGCTATCCCCATGGCAAGTCCTTTCTCACCTTCAAGTCTTTGCTAAGATACCAACTTTCCAGTAAGGCCTACTCACTGCACCCCAAGCACTTCCACTATCTCTTCCTGTCCATTTCCCCACATATTCTAATATACTATGTCATTTACTTTCTTAAAATGTTGACTGTTTATTATCTGTTTCCCCTGCTAGAATTTAATCCTCAGACAATAGGAATAGTCTTTAGAGTAAGTGACTAATACCAAAAAATTTCTTCTAAGGACACAGTGAGCAGAGGTAGAGGAGATGAGACGAACTGTCCGATAATAATCACAATTTTCCATCTTAGTATTTTATTAGGTTTCCCTCTAAAATCTTTTTTTTATTCCAGGAAATCATTTTCAGCATAGAAAAGTATTTTGAGATTCAGAAGTAGCTTGAAATCAACTAAAATGTTAGCCTGTATCACTAAGGATCCTACTTTTATATAATAACTAGCTCTAACAGAAGTTTTATTACCACAGCCATTGTAAATTATCCGTTGAAAGTATACCCTCTACTTTGAAATTTCCCTTCAACTTAGTTGCTTGAAATACAAATTTTACTCCCCTTTTCTTTTACCTCTGCTTTAGGTTTTCTATCTTCTTCCTCTTGACTGGCAGTCCCACCATCATCTTCAGCATCACTTTTTTGTTTCTCTTCTAAAATACAAATTAAACAACTGAGAAAACACACTTTTAAGTGAGGAGGCCAGTAATTAATTAGAACATACCTCTAGAATCTAAAACAATCTTTACTGTAACTTGCTTCTGAAGGTCTGAAATAACATCTTATGGTTATGGCTTACAACAGATTTTGGGGGGCTGATTTTGGGGCCTTACCAAGTTTTTCTTCAGCTTCTTCCTCCTCGTCTTCCTTGTCCTTTTCTTCTTCCTTCTCTTCTTCCTCCTCCTTCACATCTGGTTGAGGAGCATCAGTCTTCTTGTACTCCACAGCACTGGACTGTTTCTGAAATATTCCCCAAAGTACACCAATTTTTTAAAACATTTTTATGTATTACATTATCATATAATTACTGAGTATCTATAGTCAAGGTCTGCACCAGGCCCCACATCAGGGAAAATACACAGAAATGAGTAAGGTATCATTCTCACAATCAAGGATCTTTTCTATGACCCTGGATTGGGAATAAGGGTGTTTCAAGGCAGGAGGAACAGTAAAAGCAAAGGGGTCCAGCAAGAACTACAGTTCTGAGTAGTCAGGTTGACTGGGGCACAGATATTCAATAGTGGGTGGTAAAGGTGGAGAACTTTGTATCCTATTATAACATGCCCCAAATGGAAGGTAAAACAAAATCTTTATTCATTAGGAATAGAGAAAGCTAAACAAAACTGCATGTTAAAAAGGAGTTCATGGAGGAGTTCCAGCAAGATGGCAGACTAGGCAGAAAGACTGCACAGACCCTCTTCAACAAAGAAAAGGGAAACCAATTGATACAGACACAGAAGATAATCCTGGAACCCTGGGCCTTGAAGGGAAGGATATAGAAGTGGACTAAACTCCAACTAGCAGAAGAATTTGCGTGAAAATATAAAAAAAGGAGACAGAGCTGCGGACTGGCAGCGATCCTGACGGAACAGACACCTTGGAGATTCCCGAGTGGTGGTAGGACTTAAGAATTAACCTAAAAATCACCCTGCTAGCCCAGGGACTGCACGGAGGACTGTGCACGGTGGCTGGGGAACAAACGGAGAAGGTGAAGAG